CTGGTGCTGCTGATGCTGATCCAACACAATGAGCATCTTAAAAAAAAAAAGTTGGTGTGTGTCAGAGAGGGTCACCTTACCCAACTTGGTGGGATTGATGTGGTTATTACATCATCACACGTGTTTTTATTGTCTCCGTGGATCTTCACATAAGATGAGATGGATTCCTGCCTAAACAACAACAATAAAGTGTCAGTTGTCATTAAACACGCACAGTCTTAAGAAAGGAAATATAAAATAAAACATCAGCGATCTAAACATAACAAGATACACATTGTCTGGTCTTCAAATAAGGTAACAGAAATTAGGCAAAAAAACAAACAAACAAACAAAAAAAAAAAACAAGCCTAGTAAAGTGACTGACTGATGTGTGTGTCTGTCTTGTGCTGATTATGAATTATGACGACAATGTTTTTCCGGTTGTTGTTGTCGTTGTTATTGTGTGTACCCAGTGTTTACAAATCCACTGTAATACCTGCTAAATAGGACAGTAAAATGACACAAAGACTTGTACAAATACAGTGTGTATGGATGTTTATATAGGTTAGCACGTCTGGCTAATTCGAAAAAAAAAAAACCTCTACTTTTTATTATTTAAACCCATTTCCAGAAAAGGTGGTACACTTGAAATATGGCAGCTATGCAAAATACTATAAAAAAAGCTGTACACTTGAAATACGGCAGCGATGCAAAATACTATAAAAAAAGAAAAAAGAAAAAGGTGGTACGGAGGCAGGTTTACTCACGGATTGCTAGTCAGATGATGTAGTTACGTAGTAAGACCTAATCGAGGATATTCATTTTTGAGGTTTTCCGAATCCAATTACAGCGTACACATTTTGTTTGCGAGACTTGAGCGCTGCTCTATACTCGGTGGTTGTTGTCGTCTCATTGTCCTTTTAGTTGTACGCCACAGGTTTACAAAGGGAACTAATCTGGACTGCAGGCAGGTCAGTCCTGAGGCTGACGGTATGGGCTGAAAGACTAACGTGCAAAGCTGTATCTACTGGAGCACATGTCGCTCCTAATTTTCATTTTCAAAAACATGATGGTGACGTCACACCTGGCCGTTGTCTTTGTCAGCAGCCTGGATGTTGTGACCGTTAGAAACCCAGCGTTAGAAGCACGTCTCAGTAGAGCCGTAACATGGCCCCGACCGACCACAGAAAACAGTTCACTTGGCTTTTGACTTAGACGTAGCCGCTATTAGCTAGGCTAGTTCAGCTCGTCACTGAGGAACAGAATAGTACATCATTTGATTTTTTTTCAAAAATAATTTAGAACACTGTAAAAAGTTGAATGAAACACAGTCACCCTCTTTTCATTGTGTTTTGACCAGGAAAACAAGGTCAGGTAAAAGTAAGTGTGTCAAGGGCAAATGTAAATGATTCATGGGTCCCACAAACCCGTGCTTACAGAGTTGGAGTCAAATATTTTCCATTTTATTTTAGCATTTTATAATATTTAGAATAACTTATGTATGAAGTCACACATGTTTAACACAATACTATGACGGTATAATATTTCATGTTTGTTTATAGTTCAACAGTATATTCAAATCAAAAATGGCAGCTTACGCATAAAGATGTAAATAATCATCTATAACATTATTTTTTTAAATCTAGGATTACGGATTGATAGGCGTGCCTACACGAAAACCATAGAGAGGTGTGGAGTATGGCCTGTAAATATTGTATTGATCAACACTCGTATGTGGTATTATATGTTGACCTGTTTGTCTAATATACAAGATTCCAAATGGTTACATTTGAACTACCTTCATGTGTCATTACGTATTAATAGGTGTTTATTATATGTGTAGCTAATTTAGTCAGATTTTTTTTGGGGGGGAAAACTCATCGTGTGTGTCCTGTTCTGCAGAAACACACTTTCTGATCAGACTGGGTTTTTAACTGCGAGCTGCTGCGTCCCTTTAATTTTGTGCTGCATCCGCTTCTTGTGTTAACTGCAGTCTGTTTGCTGGTGGAAAAGCACTTTTTTAGTTAACTTTTTTGGTCAGAGTTTCAAAGTGGGAGACACACGTAGCACTTTTTTTTTCTATTCAGCACCTGTTTATTGTATTACTACATTACTACGTGTCCTAAAAATAGAGTGAATTTTTTTTTTTTTGGTAAATTTTGGGCTAAAACAATGAGCCCAGAAATGAAGGAATTGTGTAATACTGGACTACTTTATGTGAACTTGAATTGTGTGCTTCAAAAAAATTGGGTCGCAACCAAAAAAAAATTCAAAGTAAAATGAGTCCCAGAGGAGCACTGCTGTAGAGATATGTGTGCTTAGTTGTTTTGGTACTTGTTAGTTTATTCTTGTATTGTGGTAAGTGTAATAAAAAGTGACAAGTAAATCTGCAGTTACTGATAGTATAAAATAAAGTAGTT